CACAGGCTCCGGGCGCGCAGGCTCAGCGGCCGTGGCCCACGGGCCCAGCCGCTCCGCGGCATGTGGGATCCTCGCGGACCGGGGCACGAACCCGCGTCCCCTGCATCGGTAGGCGGACTCTCAACCGCTGCGCCACCAGGGAAGCCCAATTCTTTATCTTTTGAGTTCTAAGTATGGATCTGTTATAAAAGGAAGTATTGGTAACATCTGACCATGAAATGTTTTTTTCCCCTTTGGCCGCCCCACACAGCTTGTGGGATTTTAGTTCCCCAACCAGGGATTGAACGTGGGCTCTCGGCAGTGAGAATGTGGAGTCCTAACCACTGGACCACCATGGAATTCCCCATGAAATGGTTTAGAAATAGACTGGAAGGCAAGCAGTGTAACTTATGCCAGTCACATACTTCTCTGGGCTTTGGATTTTTCTGCTCTAAACAGGGGTTTGCAACCCAGTTTCCTAAATCTGTTCCCAGGAAACTTTCAGAATGTTACAGGTGTTCTGGGAAAAGGATTTCCACTGCCAAATGACTTAGATAATGCTCCCCTTAAGGTGATTCACAATGCATTTCAGCATATGAAAAGATCTGAGCAGTCCTACATGCATCCATTTCTTTCTGTATTTTTTTAAACTCAGTGTTTCCCACATTTAATTGACCAAGGAACCCTTTTATCTAGAAATAGTGTTGCTAAAATTCTTTCTAGTGCTAAGATTCTTTGATAAAACCTTCAAGACTTACCTTCATGATTAAGTTTTATTTATACAGGGAAACTATAAAACTGATTTTAAAGTAGCTATGAAAAGCTGTACCCCACAATGAGAAAACTGTCTCAAATAACAAATTTTAAAAGATTTTCTACTTATCTTGTTTACTTTAGTAGTCAACTTCCGAGTTTTTATCAGGTTCTGAATTCTAAATATGTTGAACTTAAGTATCTTGACTAGTATATACTACATGAAAATACATCATGATTGAGTTATCTCTATTTCAATAGCTCGTCCCCAAATAACATGGCAGATTTAAGAATGTGAAAGCATCAGTGACAGGATCACTAAAATTCCTAAGCAATTACCATTATGAATAACAAAATGATTGCCAGAATGTAAAGCATTTACTGTACAAAACGAACAGAAGTCTGAATGTATATGCATAGTAGAATTTTTTAAAAGAGAAGGAAAGAGGGACTTCCCTGGTGGTCCAGTTGTCAAGACTCCATGCTCCCAATGCAAGGGGCCTGGGTTTGATCCCTAGTCAGGGAACTAGATCCCACATGCCACAACTGAAGATCCCACAAGCGGCAATGAAGATCCCGTGTGCCACAACTAAGACCGGGTGCAGCCAAATAAATAAATATTTTTAAAAAAGAGAAAAAGGTCTTCCCTTGTGGCGCAGTGATTGAGAGTCTGCCTGCCGATGCAGGGGACACGGGTTCATGCCCCAGTCCGGGAAGATCCCACATGCTGCAGAGCGGCTAGGCCCGTGAGCCATGGCCACTGAGCCTGCACGTCCAGAGCCTATGCTCCACAATGGGAGAGGCCACAACAGTGAGAGGCCCGCGTACCACAAAAAAAAAAAAAAGAATAAAAAAGAAAGAAAAAAAGAGAAAGAGAAGGAAAGAAAGAATAAAGAAATATTGAAAACCTAATACTCTACAGGCTGCTCTTCAGTGTTTCACATGTGACCACTGAAGGAAGTATAAAGCATATAAACAATGTTGATAGTATGACTAAGACTATTATATCTTTTGAACATAAATAAATGCATGAAAAATAAAAGCTATCTCAATTCAATTCAATAAATTAATTATGAATAAAGCTTAAGGGAAAAGTGAACACCAGAAAATTCTGGATGATAAACAAACTGCCCCTGAAAATGAAAAAAAAAAAAAAGTTAAAAACACCATGTCCAATTAGACCCAACCCAGTAGTCTACTTTTTCCAGTAATATCCAGGCTATGGAAGAGTAGTGTTAGCAATATATATCAAAAAATCCAATTTATCTTAATAACACTTATGAATCTTTATCAATGACTTCATCTAAATATTTTTAAAAATTATTTCTAGTCTAAATTTATTTAACCTCTTTGGGTAAATAAGTTCTATAAGCTAATTATATAAAATAGTATTCCTTAAAAAAAGTAATCTTATTTTTCAATTTGAATTTAAGGTATATTCTCTAGGCACTAGGCACTATATAAAACAATGTAATTTTTCAGAAGAGTGAGAAAATAGGAAAACAGTGGCAGTTACTCATCTTGCTGCTTGGTTCTGTACATTCTTTGCAAGAATTAACTTTAGTATAAATGGTTTTGTTAGCTAGATCTCCTCAGGAACCACTACTATTATTTCTTCATAATGGTCTGGCCAGAGATGACCCAGGAATAATATGAATGGGACATGTGAATTTCAGTAAACTACAAGTGGGAAGCGTGATTTTTTCCTTTTAATAAAGACATAAAATTTATTACATCATTATAAGTTTGGCAAGCAGCCATAAGCAGAATGTACTTTTGCTTCCTTCTGAAATCTATCATTACACAGTTCCCTGCAAAATCTTTGAACTCAGCACAGAAATATGTAAATAGATATCCATATGGTAAAAAACACCTGAAATATATAAAAAAGGAAATGCTTCTGCTAAGAGGAAAGAAAAGAAAGAAAAGAAAGAAAAGAAAGAAAGAAAGAAAGAAGAAAGAAAGAAAGAAAGAAAGAAAGAAAGAAGAAAGAAAGAAAGAAAGAAAGAAAGAAAGAAAGAAAGAAGAGAAAGAGAGAAACGGAGAAAGGGAGAAAGGGAGAAAGAGAAAGAGAGAAAAAGAGAGAAGGAGGGAGAGAAGGAGAGGAGAGAAAGGAAGAAAGGAATAAAGAAAGAAAAGGAAGAAAGGAAGAAAGGAAGGAAGGAAGAAAGAGAGAGAAAGAAAGAAAGAAAAAAAGAAAGAAAGGGAGGGAAGACAGGAGAGGAGAGGAGAGGAGGAGAGGGAGGGGAAGGGGAAGGGAGAGAAGGAGGAGGGGAGGAGGAAGGGAGGGGAGGGGG